GGTCCGGTTTTCAAAACATTGGTTATAACCAAGGTTGAGAGAATAAATTGAATCTCTCTGAATTGATGTCCAGGTGTTATAACCAAGGTTCAGATGGCATAAGAGACCAAAAGCATTATAATAATAATAATTAAAAACATTGCGGTGAGCGTGGATCGAACACGCGACCTTCAGATCTTCAGTCTGACGCTCTCCCAACTGAGCTATCCCCGCTTGTTATACCTTTATATAATGTATTAAGTTTATCTCCTCAGTACAAGTTTTTTAAAATACTGCAATTTAATTTTGAGATTTTTTTTTTTAAAATATACAAGCAAAATATTATGAAAGTTAAAAAAATATGAATATTAAATTTTTTTATGTTAGTAGATTTAGGGGGTCTGGCAGGTTAGAACCATTTAATTCGGTTATGAGTTGAGGCGGGTCCCGGTCTAAGCTAAAATGGGTTGGGCAGATTTGGGTTTTATATATTTTTCGCAAGTTGGGTCTCAGGTTTAGATAAACCCACCCCATAACTAATCCGTTGCCATTCCTAGTTACCAATATCAATAATAAACTAATAATTATATTTGACTAAATATCAAGGTTGTAAAAATCGGTAATCGGGTCCGACTCGGTCAGGCACCGACTCACGATTAATCGGTGCGGCGGTGATTAATCGGTGATAAATCGGAAATAAATCGGTTTTTAAAATTTAATATAATATATTTGTAGATATTATTTATAAATACTCAAAACATAGATAAAAAATATTTAAACATAGTTATATCTCCATCATGTATATATTCTAATAACATAATAAAAGTTTAATAATAATAAGATCATAATACATAAATATCCTTATAAAATATAAATAAAAAGGCAATTTTTTTTGAATTTACATACATTCTTGGCATACATCATTAGTTCTTTAACAATAATAATTAACATAAACAAAATAAAGCATAAAATCCTTTTTTTTTATTTAAATTCCAACTTTTATTTTGATTTATAAAAAAAAAAAAAAAAAAAAAAGAAACCGATTTTTGACCGATTTTTTGCCGATTTTTTCCACCGAAGTTTGACCCGCCTTAAAGGTTTGACCGCCTCGGACCGCCTCAGACCGCCTCGGACCGCCTCAAACCGCCTCACAGGCAAAAAACCGATTTTTCAAACCTTTACACTAAAATCGTAAAGGTTTTGGACCGCCTCCGCCTAGGCGACCGATTAATCGGCCGCCTCGGCCGATTTTTAGAACACTGCTAAATATTATGGGTTTGCTAAATGTTTGGTTGATAATAAAATCTAAAGTGTGCAATAAAATATCACTACCCAATTGAAATAGTAGTTACTATTCCTCCACGATTAAATGTTTAGGCGATTAATACAAGACTAAAAATAAATAACGGCACATTTGGTATGTGGGTATGGGGCAAGGAATGGAATATATATTTCCAATTTTATTCCCAAATACATGTTTGGTATATTTTAGGAATGGGAATACCCATTCTTATCGGAATGCTCATACCCAAAATTATAGGATTAGTGATTCCTCCACTCCCTGGTTTTACGTATTCCCAATTCTATGGGAATAAATAATTATTTTGTTTTGACAAAATTATCCTTATTTAATATTTTTTATTTACACAATTATCATGCAAATTCCATTTAACTTAAACCTAATTACCAATTCTTCTATCATATTGATTTATCGTCTCTTTTTCTCCTCCGTCGTCTTCAGCCGTCTGAAGGTACAATTTTTTTTCTTCTGCATCTTTCTTTATTCGACTTGTGATTTTCTGATTTTTGTAAACTCATTTGTCGAACAACTGGATTGATTATAGTGGGGATATGAAAACAAGCTATAAATAATACTATTGCTTGTCCTATTCTTGAGTTTTAACAGTACGTGCAATTGTTTATAAAGAAGCAAATTCAAGTTTTATTTCTACTCATCATTACATAATAAATAGAAATTGATGGGAAGATTAGTGGGTTAAAGAACAATTATTTATAATTCCTATGTATTGAGTACATTAATCATTGTGATAGTATTTCGTCTTATATTAGGCTTTTATTTTATTATATTTAACCCTGTCTTGTAATTAATGTGTTGATCTCTTGCTGGTGTGATATTTACAAACAAAATTTTGATAAATACCCTTTTAAATAAATTTGCTGCTATGCCAAGATTAAATTCATCAACAAAAAAATTAGCAAGGCGAAAGAAATACATAGCAATGTTGTCCTTTTGGTCGAGCATAATGCAATTAGTACACTGGTTTTGGCACATTGCTCTTGGATGTATGGAGAATCATACTAGGTCTATTAGTTTAAGACCAATGTATCAATATAGTTTTTTTGAGAAGAGAAAGTATATGCAAAAGATAATTTACAAGAGTGATCGTAACTGCAAAAAGGTAACTAGGATGAATAGACAAACTTTTGTCCATTTATACTCTCAATTGGAAGCCACTAGTATAGTTTCCCCGATTAAAAATATGTTAGTGGATGAACAAGTTGCTATATCGGTTCATATTTAGCGCATCATCAAAAACAAATAATTATATACGTCAATTTTGAGCGTTCTGGAGAAACAATTAGTAGGTATTTTAGAGAAGTGATAAATGCTATTATTAGACTTCAAGGGGAATTACTTAAAAAACCCCAGCCCGTACAAGATGACTCTACGGATCAAAGATAGAAATGGTTCAAGGTATGCTATTTAATTTTACATATAAAAATTTAATATAAATAATGCACTTATTCTATTTTTATAATGATAGGGGTGTTTAGGAGCTCTCGATGGTACGCATATCGAAGTTCGCGTACAATTAAAAATTCAAAATCACATCATCATGGCCTGTTGTTTACTACACAATTTTATAAGGCAAGAAATGGGTGGTTATCAATTAGAAAGTGATGATGATCTAGATGATGGAGAAGGGGAACAAGGCATGGAGAGCGAGAGCGAAGATAGCGAAGATGAATCTGACGAAGAACATATAAATGTGATTGAGCCGTCTAACGAATGGACTACGTTTAGAAATAATTTAGCAGTTAACATGTTCAATACTTGGACAACACACAGAAATCATACATGACTTCTAGATTTTGTATGTTGCGTTTTAGTTGGATAATTATTTTATTGGTTACTTTTGATTTTTCTTGGTGATATTATTTTAGATATTTTATAATATTAACTATGATATTCATGAAATTATATTTTTTTGAATTTATTATGTTTATTCATTACCATTTATTTTGTAATTTTGTATGGCTATTTTCTTAAGGATGGACACTCAAACCCAAGATACAAGAGGTCGTGGTAAAAATAAAAGAAAATGGAAGTACATAGAAGATGCCAAACTTGTTCAAGTACTTCTTGATATGGTAAATCTAGGATTATATAAAGCTGAAAATGGGTTCAAGCCGGGCTATCTAAATTATGTGGAGGAGAAAATGCAAGCTTCTTTGCCTAATTCGGGTTTGAAGGCAAAACCACATATCGAATCAAGAATTAAGACCTTAAAGAAGGATCTTCATATTGTTTACGATATGCTACATGGCTCTAACACAAGTGGTTTTGGTTTTGATCCAATAAAAAAATGCATTACAGCTGAAAAGGCCGTATGGGATTCATATCTTCAGGTTTAGTATTTAGTTAATTCTATCACTTTACTTGTTGATTATGCTATTGTACATCAGTAATGTTTTTTAAGCCATAAAAGTTGCATGAAGGTTGTTAATTACATAAATTTCTTTTTTCCTTTTCTCCCTACAAAACAATATCAAAATGCTTAATTGTTTTACTTTTCTTATAAACCATGTAAATATATTATAAATATTTTACTTAGCATGATTTTTTATGGTCATGAGTTTATATATTTTTATATTGAAAGTGAAAATATGTTTTTCCTAAGGTGTCTCATCCTGGTTTTATGTCTCTAGAAGCTTTGAATTATTTTAGCTCATTGTGATTTTCTTGTTTCTATTTGTTTTCAGAGTCATCCTTCGCATGCAATTTGGCAAAACAAATCATTCCCTTACTACGAAGACTTGGTTGTTATTTTCGGAAAAGTTCGGGCAACGGGAATAAATGTTGAAGGTCCTGCTGATATGATGGAAAATATAGAAAGAAAGGAGACAAACAATGATACTGTTAATGATGTTGATTTGACTATGGAACCTGGACTTGAGGATTTTGGTGCTTATAATTCATTATCGCCTATGCAATCTCCAAGAAGTCAAGGAACTCATAATCAGAGAAAGAAAAAATGGAGCAGAAGCACTGAAAACATGGCAATAATGACCGATATTAAAGATGCAGCTGCATTTATTGGAAGTGAAATTGCCAAAGCCAGTCAGATCTTTGAAAAAGCAATTGGAGTTGATGCTGAAATATCTGAGAAGAGGCAAAAAATTGATTATGAGATAAGAAAGATTTCTAACCTCACTGTAGGAGAAATTATCAAGGCCGTTTGTCATATAGCGCATTCTCACAAGTTAACTGATGTGTTCTTTAGTATGACCGAAGAAGGAAAAGAGTAGTTGGTTAAAGCTATTCTAAATGGTGATGTTTAAAGATTTTTTTCATTATTGTTCGTACAATATTACAACCTTTGAAGTTGTTTCTTTCTGAATTTTGGTTCTTTAGTTGTTTTCTGTTATTTTTATTGTTCGTACATTAGTAAAACATGACTATTTAATGAGTATTTAAATAACTTCTACTGTTATTAATCATCACTATTATTTTTCTTATGATTGGTGTGTTTCATTATTGTAGTTGTGTTCTACATGTCCATGTTGTAGTATTTTTTTCTTTAGTTAAAAATGATGACAACACATAATATATTAAGAACATTAATTGTATTGTAAAAAAAATGTTTATCACAAGCTTTTTAAAAATAATAAATTTAAAAATTGAAACAGTAAATAAAAAATAGTTAATGATTTTTTTTTAATTAAAGGATAATTTGGTCATTAAAATATTTTATTCCATTCCGCTACATTTTATTTAAGTTACCAATCATGAGATTTAAAGAAGGTAAGGGATTATATTTCATTCCTTTCTTATTCCTCGTTTATACCAAACATAGGACACAGAACAATATTATCATTTCTTTCCCATCATTATTCCATTCCATTGCTTATTACATTCCTATCTTATTCATTTCCTGCATACCAATTGTGCCGTAATAGATTATTGTTAATCTATTATTATTGTGGGGAAATCACATCTAGTACTTACTTTTAACAAATTTAATTGTAAATCTTAATTACTTTAATATCAAAAGGTGACATCTACTAATGAAAGTTAGTAGTTAATGGAGAGTGTTGATTTATATGCCTATAGAATTGCTCTTTTTTATGGAAAAAATTATTA